GCGGGTGCGGGTGCGGGTGCGACTCTCGAGGTGCGCTGCGCAGGATATGTGCCCGCGCATGAAAAGTCGGATCGGATGCATGGCATGGCAATCTATGCACATGTGGCCAGGCCATGACGATCATCATACGATCATCATTCGTGATTGACGGTGGTGGTAGCGATGAGCGACAAGCCAATCGTGAATCTTTGCTTGTGTCTAACCCCCTGCAAATTCACACGGCGCTCACAGCGATACGTAAAGCTCCACTCGACGATCGCAATGAGCGAATCTTCTTTGTGACATTCACGTCTGTACTGCCCATAGTGAAGAGAGCACCACAGCGCACAGGAACATGGCCCCAGGCGACACCTTGACAGGGCTGGCCGCGACATCTGCAGCGCCGATCTGGTCCCTAGCGGTGGAGGTAGGTCTTCCACTTTGATCGGTGGGTGTTCCGCTGGAGCCTATCGAAGCGCTACCCGTGTTGCTCTTCACAGTTCTACGTTCGCGAAAAGGGGGGAGACGTGTGTGTGCTGGAGCACTCTTAGCAGTCAAGAGGCTGTGTGCAACTTCAGCGAAAGACTCACGGGCTCGACAAGACCCAATGAATACCGCCTGCAATGTGTGCTTGAAATGCGGGTTCCTGGGAGGCAGAGGAGTGGATGTCCCATCGCCTTTAGCGTTACACCGACCACTCGACGCCTCAGCAAGCAGCAGACTTACCTGCCACGTCTCGTTCAGATGGCCCAGGCTAGTGTAGAAGCTGCGCCCTATCAAGATCGACATGGGAAAGCGAGTCGACGGTCTGTGATCAGCTGGGCAGCGAGTCAACGACGAGGCGGTGCTTCGCTCACCGGCACCACCTCGAGGATTGCCGTCGCCTTCGTAGTCGTCCAGACCTCCGCCGATACGCTCCTCTTCGGGTACGTCCAACAGATTCCCCTCTCTCCACCACGCCAAAGGTCTGGGCGATCCATCCGAGCCGTTCCTAAAGCCTTGCGCATTCACGCCCGGATCTTGAAAGGCTGAGGTGTTGGTCAGCAGCACGTGTGCCGGAGATGGAAGTCGACGTGGATCTGTGCGGAAGTGATACACCTGGGCACGGTGAGGAGATCAGATGAGGAATAATCGAAGTCGTCAGCAATGCAGCTTCACGAGCACAGACTTGGCACGCCTCTGCTACTCACTTCTTCCCGAATGCTGAGGGATTCGGGAAAGCGACTGGTGCTTGGATGGTCCTTGCTCAGAGAACCGATGCTCACGCGCTGCAGTGCAGGGTGATAGTCAAAGAAGCTCCCAACCAGTCTGCCATATCCTGGTGTGGAGTACAGCGTGTTGGCGGCGCTGTGCACTCCAACGTAGCCGCCGCCGGAGGAAATGTAGGAAAGGAGAGCAGATGCTTGATCGAAGGACAAGATGGTCCCAGTTCCCGGCGGATCTACGTCGCTGGCAAAAGGGAAACAAGAGGGAAGCAGCAATGTGTTGCGCGGCATGAGCTGACGTCCTGCAGGTCAAGTCGAGTACCACTTTCGAAGGAGCCCACAGGTCGCATCTCGCAGCGAGACTGCACCAATGTCGTTCCTCGCACCCACTTGGCATACCCGACGCACTCGAGATCAGCAGCAAGAGTCCGCATCAGCTCACGTATTGTGGACAAAGGCGATCGCATCGAATTGCTCGAGTCCCTGCTCTGTGAAGAGTCCAGCATCCTCCGAAGCTACCGTCTCCCACCGAGCGCCAGAAACGGCGCTTTCAGCGACATCCGATGACAGCGAGATGTCTCCGTTGCCTAGCGCTGTAATTGTCTGGATGGCGGTGGGAATGCTGTCGTGTCGATATGCTCCTTGTGCTGTTGCAGTGAAGAGCAGCAGGCGAGCGCCTTGAGCGAAGGTGCAATGCAGCATCAGACTGAACAGCATGCAGAGCTGTGCTGAGCAAAGCGTAAGCATGATGGGCCCTCTCTGTTCTACTCGCACCAAGCAGAGGATTGTGAAAGCGAAGAGGTTGGTGGGTAGAGTTTAGCAGGAGAGCAAGTCTGCAAAAGTTTCAGAGCCTTTGATGAAGGTACCGAAATGCGACCAAAGCAAAGCAAAGCAATCCAATCTCTCTCTCTCTCTCTGCGACCAGCGCGACAAGGAGCGCATCAAAATCCGCTGTCGAAGCGAAGCGGCTTCGAGTCGCACTGCGGCCCCGGCTCGTCTGTTCTCTGCTGATTTGCTCATCTGACACCCGGTGTCCACACGCCCTGTGGCATCGCTGCTGTAGCTGCAGG